ACCATGCTTCGGTACCAATGGGTTGGCTCGACCGGAGTGAAACCACGGCCCCACAGAAAACCGACGTAAAACAACCACAGCGTTGTCTTACCGGAGGCCCAATTCTTCTCCTCCCCCAATCCAAAGGTCGGCAACGCACTCGTAATTCCTCTGTTGTTGCGGGTGTGTATGGGCGGCGTTGGTTGCTTACCATTAGGTAGTTAAGTAGTATACTAGTTTGTGGACCTATCACATATTTTTTTTTTACATAAATAAAAATTAAATTTAATTTAGAAGCTGTCTGTCTAGCGGATACGTGGACACTAGCAGTGTGAATGAGCCAGTCACGAAATCACAGCGCGATGTGATTTGATGTGAATGTCCCAACCTATGGAACTAATAAACTTACCAAACATACAGACAGTGTGACAAAAATATCGATGTTTTTTTTGTTCTGGTATTTTTCCTATTGTAACTATTTATTATACCAATATTTCCTTTTGTTTTCCAAATAGAATAATTATGTTTTTATGCCGTGAGTAAGCGTAGTACGATTAAATGAAAAAGCAAAATGCATATTAGAACTTGTATGCGCTTTTTTTAGTTTGTATGATTGGTGGTGATTTGATTCAAAATTCATGAAATTTATTTTCAGGTGTACGTTTACACATTGTATACGAGTACAGGTATAGGTACTTATAGTAAAGATTAAGATTAATTTTAAATGTGTGAAGAGCCAAGCTTTGGCACGAATGGGTCGGCTCGACCGGAGTGATATCACGGCCTCACAGAATACCGGCGTGAAACAACCACAGCATTGTGTTTCGCCGTGTGAGTGAGGTTACCGGAGGCCCAATCTTTCCCCCTCCCCCTATGCCTTTCCAATCCTTAAATATCCGAAACCTTTATGCCTAAAAGGCCGGCAACGTACTCGACAACAACTCCTTTGATGTGGCGGGTGTCCATGAGTGGCGCTAATTGCGTGCCGAACCAATACCATAAAAAAATTATTGAAAATCTCAAAATAACAATCGACAGTGATTAAGGCTGATGAGCCTACTTATAGAGGTTACATAAACAGTATGAGCCACAAGACTTTCAAGACCATTGTTTTCATCAGTATGTTTATAACTACTTGCAAAGCGGAAATTTTGTTATTATGTTTTCGGCTTACTCACGTAGTAATTTGACGAGATACTCGACTAGTTTCGAGCCATGCTGGAGGTCCATATTCATGAGCAGCATTCCGCAACACGCGACGCGGCGACTGTCGCGCTGCTACTCTACTCTACTCTAGCCGAAAACATAATTATTAGTTTAGAATGTCTCACGAAAGTTACACCTAATAAAAAAAAGTTGTGAGTTGTGTCTAAAAAGTGTAGCAGAGTCATGCTTCGGTGCAAACGAGCCGGTTCGGTTAGAGTGATTCCTCCGGCGAGAAGCGACACTTAAATTGTGCTTCGCCGTGTGAGTAAGGTCGAAGGCCCAATCTTTCCCCTTCATCCTCTATCCTCAAATCCCTTTAGTCCTTGAATCATGCCCATAAGAGGCCGGCAACACAGTCGTAGTAACTCCTTTTCTCCTTTTTGGTATAACGAGTGTCCATAGTCAATCCGACATAATATAAAAAAGATATAAGTATTATACAGTAGGTACTTACGTAGGCAGATCTACCTACTAACACAGAAATGTATTGTAAAACTGATTTAAAAAGAGTAGCCATGGAGTTTCTTGCTCGTTCTTCTCCATAGGAATCTACACTTTGGAACGAGCAAATAGCTTCACTAGAGGGACAGACGGACAGACTGACACGCTTAATTTTAAAGTTCTTGAAATACTTTTTGACTTTTTTTGCTTGACGTTCAAAAATGCCTACTGTGGTCTAATTGAAATAAATGATTTTGACTTGGACTTTGAAAATTATTATTATTATATAATGTCCCTTGACCTTGTATTCGTTGTACAAAGAGTACCATCAGATACACTCCTAATCTTCAATTGAGCGGAATGGGTTACATTAAGCACTACTCGCACGAGGGGAACCTCACACACTGCGACAATTGACTGATTAACCAACTATTTGTCAGCGAATATAAACCGAACTTTATTTACATTAGGTAGGTGCATACTGTCTTATAACAAAAAAAAGAAATATTCCGATATTGCTATTCTTTGGAAAGATAGGAGTGAAAGAATAGTAATAGGCCTTTTTCTATTATATTCTACCATCACAGATGCGGCCCAATAGAGCCGATGTTCAGTCGGGGTTGCGGTACAAGGTCAACCGCAGCTGGTCTCTGCCTGGAGCAGAAGGGACGAGGTGGTATTTAGTCAATAAGAATCTGATATGCGATCTCGCTACTCAAGGCGAGAGAAGCTATTAGATGACTTCCCCTTGAAAAAAAATAGCAATTCGTATAATAAGTATTTTTTTCAGGTGACAAAACATTCGCTTTGATCAAGCATACCAATGCTCAAACTGTCTTCGTATGAGAAAAGGCCTGTGCTCAGCAGTGGGCACTTATACGCTGATAATTAGTCACTACACGGGTATTTCGTATCACAATTTCCAAAAGAAAACAATAGGATTATAGAGAGATAAAGATTTCTTCTGGTCTCTGTATGATTTAATGTAAAAACAAAAATAATCTTTGCATGACTCCCTATACACCGGAAGTAAAGAAAAACAAAGATTAGAACTAGTCAAAAACAAAATACAAAGAAAATTCGTGACCAATATAAGAGCAATTTATCTACCTATATATCGTATTTTTCTACAGATTGTGGCACGGCCACAGCTCACAGACGTAGGTCATATGAAGAACAAATCTAGACCATTGTTTACTTGTGATAACACTTCATTGTTTTCTTAAAAACTTACGAAATTCACTTGTTTGCGTACGTCATATTTAAATAAACAAAGCCTCCGTAGTACATACACACACACAGACGTATAAATATTAGATAGGTACGTATCCATACTAATATTGTATAGATATTCTATTGTATGTTCATTGGTATTTAATTGACGAAATTAAGCAGCTTTTAAAATTAGGAAAAACACTATTTGTATATTTTTAGCCTAGAACAGACTTATATTTTATCTAGATACTTGCTAGGCTTGCGCAGGCGCAGTTTCAACTGTGGTGTGGTTCTTCTTCCTATTGGTCATAGCCCAGCGTTTTTTACGACTTACTCACTTTTCCCTAGTTACTTTAATCACGTTAAAGAGTCGTTATTTTCATTAAACAAAAAATATTTTTTCTATTCAGTACTTCCAGGTGTTCTGTTATATTGGTACCTACGTATACGTTTTTACAAGACTAATCGCATTACCTGACGGTAAGCAATCCAAATCACCCATATGCATCCACAACGCCTGAAAAGTTACGAGTGTGTTACCTTTTGGAGATTTAGGGATAAGGGAGGGATGGGAGAGGGGAAAGATTAGGCCTTCGGCTACCTCACTCACACGACGAAACACAATGCTGTGAGTGTTCCACATAGGGTTTCTGTGAGACCGTGGTATCACTCCGGTCGACCCAATCTTATTCTTATTATTTACCGTGCACTTTTGACAGAATATTCATGATCTTAGAACCTCCTTAGTAGCTGCCTTCTTTTCCATTTTTTCTTTAATTGGTCTGGCATCGGGCATCCCGCACTTAAATTGCTATTATTTCTATTAATTCTTTTTGTGTATTCCCGTCAGGTGAAACCACAGGCGGAATGTTAGTTTATACTAAAACAAGTAAGTATATTATTCTTGTAATCTGTCAAACATGGAGTCACGAACGGTGGCAGATAGCGACCGACAGTCGTTATTACGTGTATGAATAGAGTTTGAGTTAGAATTTAGATGCTATTGACATTATTATGCAAGATAAACAATATACAATATACATTATGTCTCTCTGATGAAATATCTAAGTCACATTGATGTAAGTATACATATGTTTCTTAAATTATCTGTAGGTAAATATAGATAATACTATGAGTAAAAACGTAACTACATATAATGAGTTAAATAAGAAAAACTCAGGTACTATTAGAATACTTATACTAGTTGCCGCCTCCTTGGTGGATATCCAGAGTATCACCTATATACACAGCAAATTTCAACTAAATCGGGCTATTCGTTTTTGCGTAAAGCAATAACAAACTTACATCAAGAAATTCTCACAAACTTACAAACGTATACTAAATGTTAGTAGAATTTTCTCTGTCAGCATGTATGTCACACTGAAATAGTAATTTCTAGTTCCTTTATTTATGGAATCTGAGCATTTTGATAGCACAATGCTGAGCATCGGGCTCTTATCACACGGAGAAAGTTTGAACATAAACCACCACGCTTGCTCATACCAGATTGGCGATTTCAAGTTTATAATTAGAAGTTTTCTGAGTTCTTGTTTCATCACGATGTTTCCCACACCACCTATCAGTCTAATTAATCTAATTACACCTATTAAGTATAACTCAGAAAATGTCACATTGGTACTTGTCTGGTTTTAAGCCCTCCGGATCGGATGTATAAGTCAGTAAGAGAGCCGTAGACACTTGGGCCCGGAGGTCCTGGTTTGATACTTCGATCGGAGTGATACCATCGACTTACCCGCGTGAAACAATCGTTACATTTCGGCGTGTGAGTGAGGTTACCGGAAGCATCGAATAATATAATATTGTGGTATCTAATGTTTGATTTTTGTACTTCTTGTACTTATTAACTCTGTAATGAAGGCAATCCATCCCTGGCAGAAACTATTAAATTAAAATACTTATCGAAAAATGTATTGCTATTATGTACATTTTACTAGAGCCCTTTAAAAATGGTTGCCATAGTTAGGCCAATAACAAACTAAACACTACCAATTCATTACACATAAAAGCTTAGGGCCTACCTTAAGTACACAGAATATGAATCTTATATTTATTTACTGATTCTAATGAATGAGTAAAATAAACAAAGAAATTGCTATCCCAATGTCAATAGACATTGTGACACGGAATAAACACTGTCTCGTGTTATCAGTGGTACTGGTACACTGTCCTTAGATACATCTCGAAGTAAGTACTCAGTAGAACTCAGTAGCTTACTGTGGTCGTTACTGATCAGTACACGATATTGTTATATTAATATTGGTGTTCTATTTTATAGAAAAAAATTAAAAAACATATTTTTTATTTCTGGATATTTTTTTTTTGACAAGGAATTTGGTGAGTTATTTATTTTTAGTATTTTTTTTTTTTAAATTTATTTGCACGTATTTTGATAATTATTTTTATTTTTATTTTATATTTGTTTTCTGAATGTAAAGCCAGTGTTTATTAGTTACTTGTCAGCTATCTATTAACTATATACTTGCATGTCGTAAAAGCAATTAAATAAAATTGTGTTCTTAAATAATATTTTATTATGTAATCCCATTTAAAACTCGTCGAAAGAAATTAAGTAAATTACTTTGCTCATCATTATAACTTACCATTTATTTGTAAATATTTCAAACATTAAACAAACTTAAGTTTGTTTGTTCTAGTTTTAACTAATTAGAAAATAACTAAGTCTTGAAGAAATAGTAACAATGGGTTCTGTTAAGTCATAAGGAATATGTTCTATGCGAAAGTATTAACGTGTGAATTGTATTTTTGTTAAAGTTTTGATAGATTTTAGTTGCCAGCTACTAACATAAAACTAACAAAAAATTGTTAAAATAACATAAAATCAGCAAATTATTAACTGTTTAATAACAAATAACAATATCACGTATTATTAATAACGATTAATTAACAAATAACCATATCCTTCAGTAATATATAATCACAAATCTCCATAAATATAGTTAAGTAAAAGAAAAATACCGTGGCGCCGATTATCATGTGACGATAGTTGAGGCACGCGGCCGTGCGCGGCGCCACCGTCGCGGAATATTTTTAGTATAGTCAATATTGTACGTACGTATGTGTGTTGTTTGTTGTGTACAATAAAAGTGACATAATACTTCACTGATAGAGGATCATATACCTACTTCTCTTTATGAAGGAGAAATTTCGGGAGAAATGTTATATTGTGACAGATACTTAATCCGGTATGGTTAAGAAAAACATCGAGAGGAAACCTAGGCTTATAGACGAAGGCAATCAGCGAAGATCATTCAAAAGTTACAAGTGCGTTGCAGACCTTTTGGGGATTAGGGATTTAGAGATTTAGGGACTGGGGGAGGGGAAGGATTGGGCCTCTGGTAACCTTACTCACACGGCGAAACACAACGCTATGGTTGTTTCACGCTGGTTTTCTGTGAGGCCGTGGTATTTATTACTCCGGTCAAGCCGACCTATTCGTGCCGAAGCATGGCTTCCACACTTAAATTTTAAGTGTGTAATTTCTAAATTATTAGTTTGAATTCGCAAATCCTTCTTAAGCAAGCGTGGTGATTAATGCTGAAACCTTTTCAATGTAAGAAGAGGCATTTTGCTTAGCAGTGGGCACTTATAGACTGATGATGTCTTGTATGTGATGTGAATCCGGTAGCTTCCAACAAAACAACGAACCTATTGTTCTCCTATTGTGTCTCGGATTACCACGACTGAAAAGTTAAAAACACATTAATCAAGTCTAGGAGGTACACAAGGTATAATATGAATGTCGATAGGTAAACAAGTTTTGCGAGTACCCAAAAAATCCTTTTAAAATTCCGGCTTACCTCCATTCCTATATTCATTCACAAACTTAGTTACAAAATATACACAGCTTCATCTCAATATGTATAATTCGGTGAGACAATGTGTCAGTCTGTGGTTCCGCATTCAACCTAGAAACATGTTGTTAACCTCAGCCAATAGTAAGCCGGCGTCGACGCGACGTGCGTACGCGCATCTTACACGCATGACGACGAAACAATACATATTATTTTATGCTAGAATTTTTTTTTTTTTATAATATTAATAAGTATGATTCTATAACGATAACTTGACTGCACAGTGTGTAGCAGTGTGAAACTGTGTCGCTCGTTCGATTACCATACTGAACAAAACTTCGTGTGATTTACTAATTGTTGTTTCGAGTTTAGCTGGTTTGTGTATATTAATTTGTATGTTTGTTATATGTCTATAACCTACGACACTAGAGAAAAAAAAGAAAGAATGGTAAAGTTTTATGAATCCATCTACATATTATATCTATTTATATAATTCTTAGAGAATGCCTTTGACATCGAGTCCGTCTTTAAAACGATATTTTTTGTGTATGAAGGGAACTAAAAACATAAAAAATCTGTGTAGAATTTCATTAAAATCGGTTCCATAGCATGTTGTAGTGACTACTTCATAAAGCATTACTAGTTCGTTTCCACCAAAACCACAACCACCAAATATTATAGGTAATCTGCCAAGAATGGGAGAGACCAGCCAAGGCCCAAATTTATATGCTTTCAAACGCATATCATCTTGTTCTAAAAACGCACTTACAAAATATTAATAGATAAGTACATAAATATTTAATTTATAGCTAAGTAAACAACCAGTGTTGTAGATATGTATCACTCGCTATAATATACGGAAGTTGCCAAATTCGTACAATTGACCCCCCTCTTTATGGACTTCCCAGACCATTTGTAGATTGAAAATGTAACACCTGCTTGTAGGTGCCTGTTGTGGGTTCAATATTATCGAGGGTCAGAGTGTTTTCAACCATTTTAATTCTTAGAAGTATCAAACTGTAGTGACCCATTTACATGAACCATATTGTTACGTGCCTGACGTCACGTTCCTGACTATGCGGGCTTGGGTTACGGGATTGGATGAAATGAAACACTAATACCAGATTTCAGACTTTCTATTGCACTTAAGTTACAGCGTCCACGGAGTTAAGTTATCGGCGTTCCTCTCCAGCAGAGTCCGGCCGACTGACACAACTTTGCCGTTCACGCTGACTTAACTCACTTAACTGACTGCGCTTCACTATTTCACTCACTTTTCTTCTTTTTCACTTCTTCCTTTTCTTCCGAATCGCTTTAGACTTAGAACTCAACTGCCAGCGGTGAGCCGCAGTTCCGCTTATATACCCCCGGTTCAGGTTCTGGAACATTCAATTTCGTTATTCTTTTTGATCGTCATGACTCCAGAACCTTCCAATAATTTCGTTACTCATTTTTATTTATTCTCCTTCTCGCTCTTTAATTTTTCATTTCTTTCACACAAATAATTCCAGAAAGTTCCACAAAACTTCTATCAACTAAAAAACTACATGTTTACGGCGGGACTCGAACTCGGGGTCTCTGTGGTGTAATCCACACGCCTTACCGATTACACCAACTCGTGTTGACAATTCACGACGAAATTTACAATCTCTAGGCAACATTTGACAACCATCCATTGATGTCATGATGTCAAAGAGTTTGAACCACTTTTCCGTCACACTGCCCCCCTCTTAGATTCGCTCGTCCCGAGCATCGTTGCTGCCGTAATACCTCGCCAACCTGTCTATATGGACAACTTTCAAAGGGCTCCTTGAAGACTTCCGAATTCTGTAAGTAATGTCATTGATCTTCGTGACTATCTCGTAAGGACCTTCCCAACTCGGTTGCAGCTTTGGAGATTTTCCCTTCCTTCTGACTGGATTATGAAGCCAGACCAATGACCCCTCTTCAAACCCAACAGAATTGGCTCGTCGATCATAGCGCGTCTTTGCGCGATCACTAGCTTGAAGACCGGCCTCCCTGATCTGCTCATAAATGTCCAACATTTTTGCCCTTAACTCGCTTATGTAATCGCTAAACTCGGTGCGAGAGTCACCAGGTGGACAGCCCGACACAAGATCTGCCGGTAATCTCAATTCCCTTCCAAAATTTGCAAATGCAGGCGTCTTTGCGGTACTTTCATGTACAGCAGTCCGATAGGCAAGCAAGAAGAGAGGTATGTAAGTGTCCCAATCTCTCTGATGGCTGTCAACCACCTTTGCTAAGTGTCGCTCCAATGTTTGGTTGAAGCGTTCGACCATTCCATCTGACTGTGGATGATAAGGGGTCGTTCGAGTCTTATGGATTCCCAAAAGTTTACAAGTTTCCTGGAAAACTTGGGATTCAAAGTTCCGTCCTTGATCACTGTGCATCTCCAAGGGCACTCCGAATCGGGTGAATACCTCGTTTACCAACTTCGTGGCTACAGTTACTGCCTCTTGATTCGGTATGGCAAAGACCTCCGGCCATTTTGTAAAATAATCCATAACCACTAAAACGTAGCGATTGCCCGAATCAGTGATTGGAAATGGTCCAGCGATGTCTAAGGCTATTCTCTCCCAAGGCATACCAACATTGTAGATTTTCATCGCCCCTCTGCTTCTTGTTTGTGGACCCTTGACAGCTGCACAACTAGTGCATTTCCGGCACCAATCTTCGACGTCATATTTGCAATGCAACCAATAAAACCTCTCCTTGATCTTCACCAAAGTCCTCCTAATTCCCAAATGTCCTCCAGAAGATCCATCATGGAATGCTTTTAATACATCCCTTATTTTTGAACGAGGCACCACCAATTGCAAATGCTCGTCCTTGCCGTTTGTTGATTCCCATTTCCTGCACAGAAGTCCGTTATGCAGCGTAAGGCTTTTCCACTGTGCCCATAAACCTTTCGTTACCGCGCTATATTGGGCGACGTCACTCCAACTTGGCTTGTTACCACTTCGTAGCCACTCCAGTATTGGTTTAATATCTGCATCTCTTTCCTGTTCTAATTTCATCGCATCATCTCCCCATGCCTCGTCAACAGTATCAGTCCTTATCACCTTAAGAAAAGCAGTTTCCTTCTTGGAACAATGCTTGCAATCTTCCACGCATGGGCGTCTCGATAATGCATCTGCGTTGCCATGAATTCTTCCTCCGCGATGTTCGATTTCAAAGTCAAATTCCTGAAGTTGTTCCAACCATCTGGCTACTTGGCCTTCGGGATCCTTAAACTGAAGCAGCCATTTCAAAGCAGCGTGATCAGTTCTAATCAAAAATTTCCGTCCCAGTAAATACTTCTTGAAATGGTGCAGAGTTTTGACTACGGCCAGCAATTCCCTCCTGGTCACGCAATAATTCCTCTCTGGCTTGGATAGTGACTTGCTGAAGTAAGCAATAACCTTCTCCTGCTCACCATCGCGTTGTGAAAGGACACCTCCTATTCCAATATTGCTGGCATCCGTATCAACTACGAAGATTCCTTTCGCGCTGGGATATCCGAGAATTGGTGTGTTACAAAGCCGTTCTTTTAGTTCTCGAAAGGCTTGCTCACAATCCTCGCCCCAAACAAAGGCACGTTTATCCTCTGTCAATCGATGCAATGGCTTAGCAATGTCCGAGAATCCTTTCACAAACCGCCGATAATACGAGCACAATCCAAGAAATGCCCGAACTTGCGTTTTGTCTTTAGGTGTTGGCCATTCCTTGACAGCGACAGTCTTGGCTGGATCAGTCTCAATTCCTCTCTCAGAAATAACATGTCCTAGGTAATTCACTTCGCGCTTGAAGAAAGAGCATTTCTTTGGACTCAACTTTAAATTTGCTCCACGCAGCTTGTCGAGTACCTTTTCCAATTTCCTTAGATGATCGTCAAAATCCCGTCCAACAATGATGATGTCATCGAGGTAAACTAGGCAGGTTTCACCCAGCAGTCCCGCCAGCACCTGTTCCATCAAACGCTCAAAAGTTGCCGGTGCATTGCATAATCCAAATGGCATCACCTTAAATTGCCAGAGTCCCTTCCCAGTTGAGAATGCGGTCTTTTCCTTGTCCTTGGGATCCAAATCCACCTGCCAATAGCCGCTTTTCAGATCGAGCGTTGAAAACCATTTCATGCCACTCAATGTGTCAAGTGTGTCATCGATTCTTGGTAACGGGTAGCTATCCTTCTTGGTTACATCATTCAATCGTCGATAGTCTACGCAAAACCTCGTTGAACCATCTTTCTTCTTGACAAGCACGACAGGTGAACACCAAGGGCTAGAAGAGGGCTCTATTACGTCATTTTTCCTCATATCGTCAATCATTTCTTCAACCTCTTTCTCACGAGCGAATGGTATGCGTCTGGGCCTTTGACGAATTGGCATTGTATCACCTGTGTTTATTTTATGCTTCACCAAACCAGTTCGGCCAATATCACCATCGCTTCTTGAAAACACATCAGAGAATCGAAGAAGTAAATTTCTAGCTTTCATAGTCTCCACTTTTGTCAGACTTTTGTTTTCGTCTAAGATTTTCGTTACAAAGTCAATTCCCGTACTGTCCTTCTTCACAAGATTCTCCGAGCATTTTCTTATCCAGGCCACTTCTTCCAATATGCCCACAGGCTCTCCTTCTTCAATCGTAATTTTTGAATCACTGAAGTTGAATACCGGAATGCGGTTGACATCAGATGACCCCACGACAGTTCTTGCCGGTAGCCATGAGCTTACGTGTTCCGATTTATCAATCACAGCGCACCTTCGAGGTAAACTTCCTTCCTTCCTCCTAGGTAATGCGATTGGTACGAGAGTCTGTGATTTTGGTGCAAGAACAGTTCTTCTTAAACAGCAAACTTTTCCCAGGGTTCCACCCTTCATCGGAATTTCCTCAGTTCCACATAGTAAAACTCCAGATTTTAAGTCGATGTTACACTGGTGCCCTTGCAGGAAGTCAAGTCCCAGGATGCAGTCATCCAGAATTTTGGCCACAATAACCTCATGTCGATAAACACGTTCCCCAATTTTGATTGTTACATGCAGTTTTCCACTTATCGGTATGCACTGGCCGGTAGCTGATTTCATTTGTAGGCCAACAATTGGTTTAAGGTGTTTCCTGATGTTTTGCTCGAGCAGCCGAACATTTATCACCGTCCTTGAAGCTCCAGTATCTAATGTTAGCTGACTGTTTTTCCCATTTACTTGACCGTCTATCACCAGAGTATTTCCATCGTTGGTTTGCTTGATGTAGATTGTTGGGGTTGTTCCACTACCAGCCAGCGCCCACCCCGCAGCCCTGGCTGGATTTAAGTTTCCCTGCTGGTCAGAAGTTGAGACCGCCGCGTCTTGGCGGTTCATCTTCTTCGGGCAGTCGCTCCGTATGTGCCCACGCTCTCCACATCCATAGCACATGAAGTTCCGACGGCGTGGAGGTACCTGCTCCGTTGTCGTCATTTCCCGCAGACGTAAGGTACGGGAGTTACCACGCACGGCTTCCACTTCCAATGCATGGGCCAGAGCTTCTTTCATGTTCTTGTGATGGCCCAGATGAACAGCGGCTCGTACTTCGGGGTCCCGAATACCGTCAATGAACGCTTGGAGAAGCGTGCCTTCAATCATTGACGGAGTCGACCGGAAAGCTCGACGCACAAGTTTCTCGATTTCCACGGACCATTGCTGTAGGCCCTCATTAGCACGCTGAGTACGCTCTTTTAATTGCGCTCTGTACACGTGCTCGAGGTGGCTGTCTCCAAAACGTGCCTCAAGTGCGTCGAGGAGGGCACTAAAGCTGAGATCCCCACTTGCGCCGATAGCTTCCAGCACTGAGAGCGCTTGATCACGGAGGGCCAGGGTAAGGGCTGACTGTGCTTCCTTCTGAGTCCAACCATAAGCCTCCATAAGTGTCTCAAACTGTACCTTGAACGCGGTCCAGGATGTTGTTCCGTCGTAATGGGGAATCTTAAGCCCTTTCGTTGCACTTGAAGCCGCATTTGGGGCTTCAAAAACGGCTGCAAGACGGCTTCGGCTCTTCAAAGGGCTTGGGCTTGTCACTTCCTGCTTGATTTTGGAGATCTCTTCTTCCACTCTCTCCTCTATCACCTTGACGCGATGTTCCAACTTGCCTAACCCTTCCTCCACTTCTTGTACCCGTTCGACAGCCTTTTGCAGTCCCTTCGTGAAATCCTTATGCATGTCTTCCAAGCGACGCGCTTGCTTCTCTTGGCGGCGAGCTTGATCCTCTTTCAGCTCCCGTAGCTGCTCCGCCTGACAGCGTGCATGCTCCTCTTGGCGACGAGCTTGATCTTCTTTCAGCTCCCGTAGCTGTTCTTCTTGGCGGCGCGCTTGCTCTACCATCATTTGCTGCAGCTGTAGCAGTAGATCCACCTGCACAGGCTTGGCTTCTGCATCGCTGGTTTGAGCTGCAGCACTCTCTTCCCTCACACGCTGCGCTTCTGCCATTGCACGGGTACTCACTCCTCTTACGTCCTGCGGCACTAGCGGCATTTTTCTCCAATCCCACTTCTGACACCAAATGTTACGTGCCTGACGTCACGTTCCTGACTATGCGGGCTTGGGTTACGGGATTGGATGAAATGAAACACTAATACCAGATTTCAGACTTTCTATTGCACTTAAGTTACAGCGTCCACGGAGTTAAGTTATCGGCGTTCCTCTCCAGCAGAGTCCGGCCGACTGACACAACTTTGCCGTTCACGCTGACTTAACTCACTTAACTGACTGCACTTCACTATTTCACTCACTTTTCTTCTTTTTCACTTCTTCCTTTTCTTCCGAATCGCTTTAGACTTAGAACTCAACTGCCAGCGGTGAGCCGCAGTTCCGCTTATATACCCCCGGTTCAGGTTCTGGAACATTCAATTTCGTTATTCTTTTTGATCGTCATGACTCCAGAACCTTCCAATAATTTCGTTACTCATTTTTATTTATTCTCCTTCTCGCTCTTTAATTTTTCATTTCTTTCACACAAATAATTCCAGAAAGTTCCACAAAACTTCTATCAACTAAAAAACTACATGTTTACGGCGGGACTCGAACTCGGGGTCTCTGTGGTGTAATCCACACGCCTTACCGATTACACCAACTCGTGTTGACAATTCACGACGAAATTTACAATCTCTAGGCAACGTTTGACAACCATCCATTGACGTCATGATGTCAAAGAGTTTGAACCACTTTTCCGTCACAATATTATGGGTAGGATGTGTATATGTACTTCTTTTGTAAAAAGACCCACGGCATCCTCGTACTCCGAAACATAAATCATCGATTATAATTGAAAATTAAAAACAAATTCTTACACATCCACAGAAGCAATGGCATCCTCAACTCTAGAACCAGGCCAGGTCATCAAGCCAATCATTAACCATGAAGAAGTGAAGCTGCTGGCAGAGCGGCTCTATGGCATCTCAGTCTTGGAGCTAAAGGAACTTAATGGCTATGATGACAAGAACTACAAGATCTTGGAGGATCCCAACGTGAAGAACCCGTTAATCACAACGCACTGTGAACATGGATACGTGCTGAAGATCATGAACTCCATGGACACCCAGAACCCCTCTGTCGTCGAGGCTCAGAATGAGATTATGAACTTTTTGGGTGAGTATTGTTTTGACATGAGACATTTTGGAATTGGACAAAGATTTGAATATATGTTACACATTTTAGTGTATCATATATTAAGGCTTTAGGCCCTTTAAACTGCATGGAGTTACTTTCATACAGCTCTGTTCTTCATGTGTCTGACAGTTATACCTTTGGTCAATTTAAGTCATATAAAATCTGTCAGCATGGGCCTACCGGAATGATTAAAAGTATCTCCAAATACTAATTTGATATTGCTTCATTTAAGAATGTAGAAGAAAAAGCTTACTAGACCTGATAATGTATACATCGCTGTGATAGAGACTAAAAAGTTTGTAAGGATCCGACTATTTGTATTTGCGCTTTGTATTTTCTATAAACACCAATAGGAAAAACATGATGTTGTATGTTTTATGTTTGTATGTAAAATAGAATCGCGCTGGAACTCAAACAAACAAGCAAACAAATTTTTATTAATGGGTAAAGATGGGGTTTCTTGGTGATTGTTAATTTTGGAAAAAGCACCTAGCTTCACTGATGAACAAACTGACAGATTTTTATTATATTTTGACGTTCCTAAAGTACATATTTATGGTGTAGTTGGAATAAATGATTTTGACTGACTGACTTTGATATTCTTTACCAGGTACTCGCTCAATAACTTGCCCAAAACCGATCCGCAACGTTTACGGTCACCTGCACTCCATCGAGAAGATCGGAGGGAAGCAGCACGCCGTCCGACTGTTGGAGTACGTGCCTGGAGAGCTGCTGCAGGGAGTGCCCAAGTCTGAGCAGCTGTACTACCAGGTCGGAGAGTTCGTGGCGAACCTGGACAACAAACTGCAGGTGAGAGAATAATCATTTCGCTTAATATATGCAGAATTATAGGTAGATTCGTTGGGGAGTTGCGACGAATGCTTCGGCAATACCCACCCATCCGACACACAGGTAAATTACTACAATTACAAGACTACCGGGGTGGTTTAGTCAGTAAGAGTGGTCTTCATGAGGAGGATTTTCCAACCCTATACTAAAAAAGGATTATAGGTAGATGGACATTGGGAATTTTAGAAGAATGTGTATGACGTTTATTGTATTCGAGAATGCGTAATAATAAATAATTTAGTTCAAAGTTGTTTTCATTCGTCAATTAGGATTGGTTACCTCTTAATTGTCAAAATAAATTGACCTTATTTTCTTTGGCTAAATAATGTACTATTGAACTAACTCAACGTAAAAAAGAATTTGATTGCGAAACGGACTGGGAAAGGGCAACCATGGAGTTAATTACTCATTACTCTTTTACATTTTGGCACGAGCAAATAGCTTCACTAGAAGACTTTGTATCTTTTTTTTAAATTCAACAGAAATCCACATATTGAAATAAATGACTTGATTCCACAATAATGTCAAAACGAAATGCAAAAATTATTAAGAAACTAATTTGAAGTATCCACTGTATACCACTTTGAAGTGGTTTTTGTTTCCATAGAAATGTATTTCGCATGGAACACACTGATTTGGCCAAACAACGGCACTTATAGCTAGATGGCCAGTCCAAGGTCCCATCAAACCGTATTGTCCTCTTGTTAGTATCACTGTAGTCGCATACAACGTATGATATACTGAACATTCAGTCGACAATCACGAGGATGAATGCGACGATTAACCTTCCACGACATTGGAATGTTTGGGCGATTAATTACTGACAACATAATGTACTTGGCATTATATAACTGCGGAGAATGGGTGTGGTAGCTCAGTAAATATTATGTATGCTTAGATAGTCTCCCAACATGACATCCATGATTCAGGAACATGAGTTTTGGTAGCCCGTAGGTTAAACTTCGAGGGGTGGTTCAGGGTGCGGGTACCACTGACATATGAATGAATGAATGAACGAATATACTTTATTGTATGCCACAATAATAAAAAACATAGGAAACATAAACACAAAATATAGTACAATTGGCGGTCTTATCGCTTAAAAGCAATTTCTTCCAGACAACCTTTGGATGGAGTTTAATTGTAGAAGAATTTGATACGGGCAGTTTACGGCGTACATATACATTATAATATAATACATAATTTAAGGATATATATAATAAATAAACAAATAAGAAATTGTAAAAAATATATATATACATAAAAATAAATCATAACAATAGGTATAGCGATGATGGATAAGTTACTGAGCCATGTAGTGGTCGTATATGGTACCCATACTAGAATAAAGGGGACGGGATTAAGCCTGACTGCTGAAAACACCGTTGAAAGTTATTCCTCCACTGTCCAGCACCATAGCCCGACATGGTGTTCAAAGTTTAACGCCAGAGTAATAATGAATGCGTTGCAGGCCTTTCAGAGATTAGGGTTTTAAAAAAAATCAGGATTGGGGATTGGTTGGACTGAATCCACACATTACAAGAACACAACGATGTTGTGAGCTAACCCATTCGTGCCGAAGCTTGACTTTTCCATATTCATGCATCTTGTTTTAAGATTTTCCTTAAATTAGTTATCTAGTAAGATGTTTATGACTTTCCTTGCAGAACTTCAACCATTCTGGGCTGGTGACCCGAGAGCACATGTGGATGCTGACCAAGGTGCCTGAGCTGGAGAAGTTCAAGTACGTCATCAAGGATGCTGAGAAACTGGAGCTAGCTGAGGAGGTGAGACCTTTATATTGATTGGATCGTTGTGCTTTATATTCTTTGTATGAAACCGCTTGCTGATGGCTGATGATTTCACAATTTATTGTGGAGAGATTAAATGGAAGATCAATATTTCCTGTTCTACTAGCTGACCCAGCAAAGTGCTTTGCCATATACATTATTCCGGAAAAAATGTTAAGGGTGACCACCCTTATCACATAGGGGTGTGAAAAATAGTCATTTGCCGATTCTCAGACCTACTGAATATGCATGTAAAAGATGAAATTCAGTAAAGCTGTTTCGGAGGAGAAAAGTAACTATGATTGTGACACGCAAATTTTAGGATAATTAAAAATAGAACATATTTAACCTCACTGTGGTTGGTAACCTATGTAAATACATATAAATGGCAGTGTTGGTTATTTGTCAGATAACTTTTTTGCATTGCGTCGCACTAACTGTCAGTCGTCGTCCTAAAACTCAAAACAGAATCTCCATTCAATTATAGAATCAAAGTGTCCTATATAGTAATACATATTTATAAATAAACACGTGTCCTTTTAAAAAAAAACCTTGGAAGGACAAACGCCAAAAAACAAAAGAGGATCTCCCTTTTTCGCCCTACATTCATATCAATCTATTTATCAGCGTAATCACTTGATCTCATTGAAGGTTATGTAATGAGGTCAATAGGTGTATTACTAGGACAGATGTCGTATGCGTGTGTGTCTGTGTGTCAAGTTTAAAGTAAATTACCGTGTAGGTAGTTTATATCTACATTTATGTAATTAGTGGTTAAAATATTGCAGATTGTGTATCTGTCTAAGAGATACACACATAAAAATCAATGCCACTTTTCGTTGTAACGTTATAACTTAACAATGCCTTTACCGATTTGGCAAATTTTGTCCACAAAAGATATCCATGTAGATATAATTAAATCGACATACATTCGGGCGGAGCCGCGGGCGAATGCTAGTTAAGTAATATTTTTATCAAACTCTAATTTTTGTTTGCGGTTTCCTACATACCTACTCTTTAAATCATAATCTCTTGTCAATAACAAATATAGATTTTGGAAATCACAGGTGCCCCCTACCCAAGTAACACAGACATGCTGAATAGTGTTTGAGTAAAAGTAATTCGAAAATATTTACAGATATAAGCTCCATAACGTGTGAGGAAAGGCTATTGAAATAGCCAAATTCTGAATAATTTTCTCTTTCTGCCTTAATAGTCATTTATGCTTGATAAAAGTTGTATTAAGGTCGACTATTATTTTTAAAGCTTAGTAATAACTTCTGTACAGCATAAAACGCAGATATTATTAAGCCTAAAGCATTACAGGTGACTTTAATTTGAAAAATATTGCCCGGGTCAGCATTTATCTGTATAATAGTATAAGTAGCTGAATAAACGTAATTATCTAATACTAATAAACAAACTTTTCTCAACTTATTGCTTATAAAACCACCATACTCTGTAAAACTGTGTCCACGGCAGCTGTCTTCTGAATAAGAGTGTAAGTAATTTCTAATGAAAGGAATATTAGCATTGTATTTTGAATAACAGCTTTTATTTTGCCGTCAAGTCATATAAGGTTCCACATTTTATCAATTATTCAACTACTGTATAAAAGTATTTTCTGTGTTCTAAATAGAGCTTATTTTGGTATAAGGGAAATAAAGTCATAGTTTATAGGTAACGTAACACAGATGGAAGTCGAATGATGTATTTTAATTCCGCAATTACTTGTAAAAATACCATTTTTAAAGAACTTATAACGAGTTTTTCTGGGTAGTAAGTGAATTAAAGACGTTTAAAACATTGTTTTACTACGAGAGCGAGCTTAGGTAGTCGTAATTTGAGTCAAGTCCGAACAGATCCAGTTAAAGGGAGTTCTGTACCTTCAAATAATGCCGTTATAGATTTTGTACAGAATTCAGAAGATAATATTTCCGCATCTAGTGAAGATAAATCAGATGTGAATTTTATTGAAATTAAAAAATGGGCTCTTAGTAAAAATATTTCACAAGTCGCACTGAAAAAATCAATAAGAGAATTTCATTTTTTATGTGAAATTTTGTTCGTGAAGTTAGTAGTTATTATAATTAAAAGCGTTTAAAATTATCAAAATTTCTTTTATTTCTAAAATTTAAAAAAATCCGTTCAATCTTATAATTACTAAATTAAAAAAACAGTAAGCCTTCTTGGGGATGATTTCTCAAACTCGCATATATTTAAAATTTTAGTGAGCTGGAGGCAAACTCCAGAGACGACATATTGTACACACTATGGTCTACACATAACGTCATATTAGATAACTCTTCTTCTGCATCTTCAAAGGTTGTAAAATTATTTCTTTTTAAGGTACAATTCATTGAAATCCAATCCGGACTAGGTTGAGCATTTTCGTTTTTACAAAGGTAATCGGCATTAAATTTGGGCCATTTCAGTTTCGCTGTGCTTTCCCAGTGGGAAGGTAGAGTGCATAGTTCTGCTCTGCCCCTTCGTTGAGTAGAAACAATCTTAAACGGCATTCTCCTGCAAGACATTTCGCTTTATGTTAGGAACTTAGAGTAAGTACTATTTTATGATAGCTAAAAACAATAAAACTATAAAAACCTTTTAGAAACTATAATTTCGCGTGTGTTAAACACGCCACGCACTAACTTGCAGCCGCGGTGCGCTCCCTATCTGTGAATAATAGTAACTGATCAATACGTGTAAATTACTCGATGTTGTTTGTTCTAGCTAAAATAATTCACTATGAATCTACATACTACTAAACTACCCCCATCGCATAGATGGTTGTAATTTTTTGTAATACGAAATTAACCCAACCTACCTAAAACTAGAAAAACAAAAACATAACATCGTTATAACAGCGTTTATGTACCTACATGCTAAAAAAAAAAAGAATAAAACATTATGCATAGTATTTGTGTTGTATCATTTGCCACTGAATAGGTAGAAAAAAAACCCTTATTTGTATTGAAAAATATAAGTGGTCCTTTTTTGTAATTACTCATATAAATATATCAATTTTCCTGAGAAATTTGGTCCGTCGTATTATGTTTTGAACCCTGATCCGCTGTATAATTAATCACATTTAGTAACGTTATCAAGTGTTATTCAGATACTTGTAGTGCCTAATCACTATTTCTCAAATTAAATCAGAGTTGTACTGTAAAATAGCTGCGTGGAGAACTTTTATAATGAATCGCCATTTTATTTTATTTTTAGGTAAATTATTGAAACATTACGTATATAAAATGCCCCATTTTAGTAATTAATTACAGTTAAAAATATATTTTTTGAGTAACTTAATGACTTTTGAAAGATTAGCATAACTGTTTCATCCTAAGTATTTTTGTCACTTCTAAAATTCTTTATTTATATGTCATATACTATTACTAAAAATGAATATGAAAGCGGCGCGTGAAAAATGTTGAGATAATTTATATGCTATTCACGATAAAATAACTTGCGCAGTAATTTTTTACGTGTATCATGGTTATAATACATAATAACATTTAGGTACTTACCGATTCGCATAGTTCCACTACCATCTTTATTTTACTAAAAACTATGAAATCTCAAAACAAAGCACACACTGCACGATTAAACACAACTTTTTTTCTAATTCACAACTTAACTTTTAATTATGTTTGAAAAGTATTACGCAAATGAACATAATCCTGAATAATTTTTGAATAACAAAATCCATATGCATTTGTCTGAATAAATACGAAATAATAGCTATATTAAAGTGATGACAGCTTTTTTCCAGACGTTATTAAGTTAAGTCTGTTATTATTAAGCAATTACCCAAACTATACAGCTATATTATACAGACTTATGCATTTAAAAATGTGCCCAAATTGCTTGAGTAACAGTTGAATAGACGTTCACTCAGACAATATCCAGACAATAGTTACAGCTTATAGTTTCGCGGATCACTAGTACTCAAACGTTATTCAGCATGACTGTGTTACTTGGGTATGCACCTACTGCAATTCTTAAAGGCCTCTTTATTCTTTAGGTTCATAACTTAATCTCTAGACTTGATAAGATTGCCGTTCAGAAATGCTGCTGCTGTTAATTCTCTCTCTTATCTGATTAAGTAATATGCAATTCCCTAACCGGCTCTTCGACAGTTACCGGGACGAAGAAATGGTTATGTGAATGTCTTTCTTTGCCGTTACCATCGGAAATATATTCAATGACTTTCCGTAACCTGGTTGGGGCGATAGTGAGTGTTACCCTCTTCCTGACTAAAGACCACCCCGTTCCTTCTCCTGCTCCAGGCCAGAGTCGTGCATTATAGTAACCGCAACCCCGACTGAGCATTGGCCCTTTAGGGACCCGTCTATTCGGCCGGGGTCGCGGGTTAAGCGCAATAAGTCACCGCGGCCTCGGCCCAGAGCAGGAGAAGGAACGGGAAATTTTCAGTCAGTAAGAGTCTGACACTTCCTCCTGCCCGGCCCTGGGCGGGAGAAGTCATTTGATGATTTTCCCCTCACAAAAAAAAACCCCGACCCCAACTGAGCATTGGGCCTATTGGACACCGTCTTTCACCACGTAACTCAAGTAGATAATAAGAGTAGTCCGGTTAATTATTGTTATGTTCGTATAATTTATATTAGTCCTGTGGTGTGTTATTAATATTTATACCGTGTCTGTTCGGTTCTGTCACACTGATAAGTCTCAATTGAATAACAAGTGCAGGGATCATTCACCTGACTTGTTCAGTGTCAGTATCTACATTACATTTATGTTGGTTTTCTATGGTGGAGGCCACGTCTAGGAAACCGTAGTGTAGGGCGCCCTCCGGCTAGGTGGACTGACGATATCCGTATGGTGGCTGGCAGTGGTTGGATGAGAAGAGCTGAACATCGAGCTCAGTAGTGTCCAATCATTATTGGAGAGGACATAGAGTCCAGCAGTGCACGGAATCTGATGATGATAATCTACGTATATTTGTGCACTTTAGCAAACAGTATAATAAATTGTTTGCCATAAAGCTTGTTCATTGTTATCAGGTGGTTATCCTCTTTGATCATTTTTATTTCTATTCCTTATAGCTTCAGTAATATCATAGTGGAATATTTCATTCAGTTATATCTTCATATGCCTGATATTTTACTCAAACGCTGATCATGGAAACATGTCTGTCACCATCATCTTGAATCCACTTATCCTGAAATCACTAACCCCCAAAAGGCCATTAAGGCACTTGCATCGCTTTTGTTTTTGCCATTAATGGACGGCCCGGCTGTTTGCTCGTTTGTCGACCTTTTTCTTATTTTGAAACCTTGCCGGACACTAGGATTTTCTCCTGTATCGCGAGTGCGTTTAAAAACATAAGTTCACATACACATAACAACCAGACCTAGAACAACAATTTATGGATCACACAAAAGCCTTTTTCTGACAGCCAATTGCCCAGCTACCGCGACAACTGTGCAGTTACCTTTAGGTACCGCCTATTTCATAAAAACTTTACTTATTGAGTAATGTTGTTACAGGTTATAGAAGAGTTCAAGTACGCAGTGTTGCCGCGGCTGGATGAGCTGGAGAAGGGGGTCATCCACGGAGATGTCAACGAGATGAATATACTCGTTGGCCTTAAGGAGGGGGGCAGGTCGGTAGACAGTAAAAAAATTTAAGCTTTTGGAGGCATTTTAACTTTCTCCGTGTGAGAAGAGGCCTTTTTGCTCAATAGTGGTGATACCCCTTGAAGCGGAATGATTTATATTCTAGTTCTAAGATTTTATTTCTAAGACTGTAAAAACGTCGGCTAGTCTTTGTGAGATATGGAAGGTGGTGCCCTACCAAAGGGATATTCAGTTCTTACTGATTAAAACCACCCGCTCCTCCTCCTGCTGTGTGATGGTTGGGGTAGGGGTGAGTGAAATGTGAGATATAGGTACTTACTCAAGTCATAGTTTAGTAGTCATAGCACATTGTTTTGACAACTGAGTTAAGTAATTTTCTGCCGAATTGATACTACCTAAGTTGAAACTCAGTGAATTTAACGTATTTAAGCTCTAAACTGTTCATTTAATATTTGTCCCATATAATGTAGGTAGGTAGGTACATAGTCTCTTACAATTTATCAAGTTTGTCTTACATCAGATTTCATAAGATTTCCTATGAGTTTGTTGGTTTGTTTATTTTCCACGATATTGTAAAGATACCTCAAATAATGAGTGCTGAACATCCCGTAGGTAGTATCTTATCATGCATGATGCTGATATCTTGAAACACCATCGAGATAGCAACTTATTGACTCTTCAACTATTTACAAAATATTATAAAAGAACTAACATGTTTACATATAAAAGAGAGCTTAATTTTAATGATTTTAATGGTTTCGCATTTTTTAATCACGCGGAAAATGTTATGGTGTTTTTGTGCGTAATAGATAGATGGCGTTGTTTACAAGTTTTTATTAAAATATTTTGTCGTCAGTTTAGGCCCCTGAAACCGTCAGTATTGAGGGTTGGCACTCAAATTCTAAATGGGATACTGTTGAGGTGAGCCAGAATAGTAAGTTAAAACAAAATTCTCCATTACCTACTTCGCTTTGAAACTTTGAAAGTGAATAATTTGGCTTGCTTCGAACTTTTTGTGGGTATTTTTGGTAAAGGGGTCTATTTGTGGCAAATTAACCCAAATTCAATTCAATACAGTGCATGAAAATAAACAAACCAATACTACCTAACATATTTCTGTCAGTTTATGTCTGTAAATTGGATGATTTGGAAATGATTAGGCATGCGAATAGTTGGCGGCTCTCATATTTTTAGTGGAGTCTAGTAAAAACTACTGCTGGTGTTTACATTAATATATCTCATAGATATTGTACTTACACGAGAGGGACCTGTACAAAGATCCCAAACTAGTTAAAAAAAGTCAATTAGAGAAGTTAGTCTTTAAACAATTAAATCTTTCTACAGCAAATCCGACTATCGCGTGACCGGAATCATTGACTTCGGTGACATCCAGTACTCGTACTACGTGTTCGAGCTGGCCATCACAATGACCTACATGATGCTGGTCTCTGGCGACCCTCGCGTCGGAGGCTACGTCCTTGCAGGATACACGGTCAACAGGCGTCTGCCTGACGACGAGTACAGGCTGCTTAAGGTGGGTCATCACTTTCTTTGTCGTTATTATTCAGTATTATTCATTTTTAACAATATTTATTAGCAATTTGCAAGGATAGCGGAACACCAATTCCCACAAAATACTTTTCTTTTTATATTACTTTCTGTAAATACGAGATGGCAGCACTTGTAACTAATTTAGTGTAGATTTTAGTCAATAGATGTCACTGTTATCTTATTTAATGTTTTCTACTCACTTATAGATGGCGGTAGTAGTTGATAAATGTTATGTTTTTTTTTACAGACGTTGATTTCGTCCCGCTTAGTCCAGAGTTTGATTCTTGGAGCTTACACCATTGAACAGGACCCTAACAACACGTATGTGACATCGACGGAGAAGGCGAATGGTTGGGAACTTTTGAAGAAGATCCGTAAATCGAAACCTACAGAAAATTTAGACCCTACCGATTGGAAGGAAATCGCTAACGAGTACTTGACTAGAAGCTAATTTGCTCAGTAATAAAGCGTTTATTTTTGTACAAATTATGTTAAAAGTATTTTTTATCTGTATAATTCTTCTTTGTTAGTATTTGGAAGTATTTATGATTTTTTAGTGCCTAGTAGCTTATCATATCTTAAAATTGTAATTATAGTATTGAGATCAATGGAAATTGTAAGATTTATAATTACGTTAAGTATTAATCTAAATGTATTTTGGTAAATTAAATCTTATAGTGAATGTATTATTGTTCGTAATCCAATGGCATCGTAGATTATCTACCTACTATGTTTTTATAGATGGATTAATATTTAAATAATAAGAGAAGTAGTAATAAATAAAGACTGTTTATTAAACTCAAATTTAGCTTTATTTTATTTTATACACACATGTGTTCTAACTTTTTTAATTTCAATTCGATTGAAGTGCAATGTAAGGAGTTATTGGTATTTAAAATTATAGGCCTGTTTTTCTATCTAAAGCGTATATTATGCTGCTACGATTAACTATACTCTTACAAACTAAGAACATGGAGTTAAACTCGGCTTAAACACAACAGAAGCATGTTATAACTATACATATATTATTATAAAAATTAATTATGATAAACTTAAGGGTTCAAAAGAGTACGCGTTTCTCAAGATGATCAGCAATCAGTGGCGCACAAAGACATTTACATAATGGTTAGCAATTCCTCCGGTTGCACGGAGAAATAAGGTACCGCGGCTTCGGTCTAAAGCAGGAGAAGAAATAGGAGATCTTTAGTCAGTAAGAGTCAGAGATAGAAGTCATTGTATGATAAACCCTCACAAAACAAAACCATGTCTTTGCTGTCTGTTAGAGGCAGTGGAGCGGTGGGCTTCCGTTAATTGCCAGATTTCTGTGAGGCCACTCAATCACTGCAGTCGAGCTGGCATTTTCACGCAAAAACTAACACCTGTAAGTATGATACCCGAGAATAATAATGTTATTTATAAAACACAAAAAATATCATTTAATAAGTGATTTAGGTATCACTTAAAGATTCTTTTTTTTTATAAATAAGTACCTACTGCTTATATCTGTTGCAGACGAATACGAAATTATGGAGTAAGAATTGTTCTTAATCTAGCAGAGAATCTAACCCGTATTGAAGTTTTAAACTAATTTATACAGCATGAACTATGTACTTACAATGTAATTATAATTAATTTATAGAATCAGGCGTTACTTTGCGGAAATCCATGACATTAAATGTTAGGGAAAATACTTAGTTTTAATTCCACGACAAAAATCCAGGCTTGTTGCAGGATGCAATCCCACTCCTATGCAATCATGCATATGCACATGCAGCAAGCATATGCACACATACACAAAACGGAAAAACATGCCACGCAATCAAACCCACGATCAAACCTATACTCGACACGTGTTTTGCCCCTCCACAGGGCATCCTCAGGAGATGTTGACTCGTCGAGCGCTCGTCGAGTCGAGGTTTGATTGCGTGGCATGTTTTTCCGTTTCGTTCCGTTTCCGTACATGTGCATATGTATGATTGCATAGGAGTGGGATTGCATCCTGCAACAAGCCTGGATTTTTGTCGCGGAATGAAAACTAAATATTTTCCCTAACATTTAATAATTATAATTACTTATCAAAAACATAACAGCTGCTCGGAAACGATTTATTTGTTAACAATTTATAGTAGGTAAAGTACTAAATACCCATAATAATTCAATATACAGCAAACGGTGAAGGAATGAAGACCGTTTTAAAATAACGACACACACCCATAATAAAGTTTACAATAAAAATCAAATGCTCAATAAAATAAACTTAACATTTGAAATTGTAATCTTGATTATCATTTTTACCTACAAACTGTTAAAAAGCTGCAATTGATTTTTAACTTAATTTAGAGTTGATAAGATTTAAAATGCAGTGTAGATATTTGTTAGAAAAGGGTAGCTTGATGTGCGAGTGTCAGTACTTAGGATAAAAGTGCCATTTAGTTCAGCATTTTTCCGTCAGTAGTTGAAGTTGTCCTATCAGAATGTTCTCATCAGTCGCTTATATCCACATCATGTCTGTTTCGTATAATATATAAATAAAATACGAATTTATTGCTTTGCCTCCAGCTAAGGGAATTAGATAGCATCTAGAAATACGTAGTCCAAGTTAATTTTTTTGTTGAAATAGTTCAGCTACTCGATGATAGATGGCGCTTATTATAATGAAAAATGCACACGGTGTGTTCCTAGCGCTCATTGATTAATTCTTAATAAATACTATCAATTACATTTTATCTGTGAAAGCGGTATAATAAATTGTGACAGAACGGAACACCAAGCCAATAGCAACTTGGGTGTATTTGGACTCTGTGCTGGAAGACTAACAATAGTTATTAACGGTTAGGTACCGATATAACCGTCACTTTTCAAAATGATAATATTCCAAGGTTTTAAGCAGAGGAGGAAGGTTATCAGATCACTTCACTCGTCCTAAATGTAGCCAGTTATCAATTAAGTACCTACTTAGGTGTCTTTTTGCAATTTCTAACGACTCATTAATATTCGTTGTCGCAGTGGCTGGCCGGCCGTGTAAAGTTTCGCGGGTTTAATTCCTGTACTCTTTGTGTGATCCACAAATTGTTGTTTCTGGTCTAGGTGTGATGTGTATGTGAAGTTGTATTTTTATATCACTTATTTCCACGACGTAGGAAACAAGAATAGTGTGGGGCAACGTTAAAAAGAAAATTAAGTGGCCATCTCATACTGAAGAATTTTTCCGAAATAAGAATGAAATTGTTGAAAACAAATAAAATTTTACTTGCCCTTTTAAAAAGACAATAAATAACAACATCGTCAAAATAACAAGAACAAGTTATGTAGCTCCAATAAAATCGTCTTCCATTTTAAGGAACCGTTACCAACGTGCCTACCTTAAATTAAAACCTATTTTAACCATAAAACAATTTCAAATATTATAAAAAAAATTAAGATCGCAATTCGCAAGAACTCAACTCAGTAATTACAATTAATTAAAGGGTAAAAAATACTGTCATTTTTTATTGTTGCTACTTTGATTGAGTTTTTATAATGTCGCTGTTTAATTATGTAAGCGGCGCGCTCTCGTTGCGGCGTCTTCGTGTAAGTTACGATCGGTCGAGTAAAAAAAGCTAATTAAATTGAGAGTAATTATTTAGTTAATTAAGGTATTGTCTTATAAGGGTGTGGCCTTATGTGGCGTGTGATATGCGCAGAGCAGGGTACAGTTCTCTAAGAATAATATGGTTATTTTTTGAGATTTTAAGTGTAGGAGAGCCATGCTTCGGCACGAATGGGTCGCCTCGACCGGAGTGATACCACGGCCTCACAGAAAACCGGCGTGAAATAACCACAGCGTTGTATTTCGCCGTGTGAGTGAGGTTACCGGAGGCCTAATCCTTCCTCCCCCCTATCCCTCCTCAATCCCTAAATCTCCAAATCCCTAATCCCTAAAAGGTCGGCAACGCACTCGTAACTCCTCCGTTGCGAGTGTCCATGGGCGGCGCTGATTGCTTACCATCAGGTAATACGTATGCTCGTTTGCCGACTTATTACATAAAAAAAAAATTCAAAAGTTATTAGATTTATATATTTCGTCACTTTTGTAGTTGCTCTTATCTGACAATGTGCTACTGTTAGAAATGATCTTGTGAAACCAAAACTGTTCCTTTCTTCCTAATTATTTTTTTATAGACATTGTGTTTTTTTCAATTTTTCTTTATTAGAGTAATAGCGACCAGTAATACCCGCCCGAGTTTCGCAAGGTTGTAATGCTGATACTTAAAATCTCCACTGTTTAATGGGTGTTATTATGTATTACAAACTTCCTCTTTAATCAATCTATCTATAATGAAAACCAGATCAAAATCAGTTTCATACTTTCAAAGATTTAACTATACATTCCCTTTGTATGCGTAAACTTAAGCAGGTTTATCTATAGGGACAGAGAAAGCGACTTTGTTTTATGCTATGTAGTGATTGTATTAGTTTTCACAAACTGTTTTCTTTTCATTTTATTCATCAACAGAATCATTCCTTTACTTCACTGCTCGTCTTTTTCCTTTGTTACAAATTATTACATCACAACGAATAAAAAATTTACACCTTAATCTTCATACTAAGAATCTATCGCTATAATTTTTTAACGGCTATTAACTTTTTTGAAACACCTAATTCTTATAAGACTCTCATGTGTCATCCATAAATTCATAAAATAGGTCATTATCATAAGAATCTCGATCACAGATGACCTAACCAGTCACAGCACAGACGTGCAAGGAGGTCCGACGTCAGAGGTCGTGATCCTCACAAGCTTCAAAGCGAACCTCATCAAAACTTTATGTAATTAATCATTACCATCAAACATGTCTACCACTAGTATAATTACACGTAATTATAGAGTAAGATGATTAACTTGAAATAAATTAATATTAGCATCAGATAGTGTGATACCTTTGCCATGTATTCTGTGGATTGCACTTTCTAATTTATATATTATATTTCTTGTGGGAATCCCAAAACATTGGTTTCTTGCATAACAAGATCAACTAAAGTCATTTTATTCAATAACAATCTTTTTTATGGATTGACCTTGATTCTCGATCTGCTTTTTGATTTCTTTGCTTGTATTTTTATGTTATTTTATGGACTTGAAAATTGTTAGTACTTTGGAGGTTTTATTTATCAATGTCTTATGTTTATCTTTTTCTATGTTATTATAAAATCAAATATATTTTTGACATAAATTGTAGTTCACGTTCAGTTTGACTGCATGGTTGGTGCGGTGGCTGGGCAACTGGCTGCCGTGCAACGTGTCGCGGCTTCGATTGCCGCACGGAACAACTCTTTGTGTGATCCACAAATTGTTGTTCCGGGTCTGGGTGTCATGTAATGTGAAATTGTATGTTTGTAACCGCACCCACCGTGAGGAGAAACCCTAATGTGGGGCAACGTTTTTTGTAAAGAAAGAAACAAAAAGAAAGTTCCTTTTCAGTCATAGTTCTACTTTATATACTAATTACTAAATACATTACACAATAAAGATAGAAGCCAGCTCGTACCATTTTAAGGTTTTTCACTATTTACAAGAGTTAATATTGCATTG